AGTGTTGTTAAGAATGTTACTAGACCTGAAAGTCCATGCAAGAAGAAGCACAACAGTATTGCATATCACAAAGCTCGTGAGAGTGTTGCATCTGGTGCAGTTCGGATTGCTAAGGTTCCTGGAACTGAAAATACAGCTGATTTGCTCACAAAGTTAAATGGTGGTGCACTCTTCAAAGAACATTGCAGAAGATGCATGTATCCATTCTAAAATAGGCTGATATATTACACTGTTAAAGTAGCAAAAAGCTACCACAGTGAGGATCAAAATGGTCCGCCCCGTATCATATAGCCAGGCCTCTGATATTATGAATTATAAGGGTATATACGGAAACTGCTGTGCAGGTGAAACTGTGCAAAATTACTTTTACTCAATGAAACGCAAAAGATTGGGTTAAGTATCGATGATGGTACAAGCGAAAACCTCAATGGATTGACTCACTTGATTGATTTTTGTAAGTTCGATYCGTTTGATCTTATTTGACTAAACTGAATAGATCTTACGGGGACTGTGAAAATCACTCGTGGATTGATTGAGTTGAATCACTCGTACGATACGAATGAATGAATCGTACGAGTATTACGATTAAGGTTAGAGTTAAACCGTATCCCAAGATCGAATCTTATATTCGTACGATTCAACTATTAGGGTTAAGGTTAAACTAAGGTTGAATCATATCTTTGGATTGAATCGTATGATACGAATGAATCGTACGTACRATCGATYGCTGAATCRCTAACGCATCGAAATTACAGCAAACAGCAATCAGCTGTTTGGTCACTTATTCTTTTCTTAAACAATTAAAACACCCTTTCATGCCCTCAACACCATGGTGATATCTAGAATAGCTAAGTCTCTAGTGTATATTACAGTGTAATTACCTGTTATATCAACACTACACTAACTGCACTGTTGCACACGTGATTTCTACAACAGCTAGCACAACAGTTAGCACAACAGTTAGCACAAAAGCGAGCACAACAACAGCCAGCACTACTACAGCTAGCACAACAGCTAGCACAACAAGAGCTAGCACAACAGCTAGCACAACAGCTAG